TTCAATTTCATAAGAAACTAAGCAAAAAGAAAAATTAAATGATGACGAAAAGCGATTCCACGAATGGTGTGTTAATCGTCAACAGTTGATCTCTTCCGTATAAATACGTGCTTGATATCGCGACAGATCGAATTTCTTTGATAGATTTATGCGTAGTACGAAATTCCACACGAATCAGTGGAGATTCCCGTCGGTTGATGAATGATCCAATGCTTAACATCTCCATATTCTTGTATAAAGTTCCTAGAAATTCCTAGTAAACCAGGAGAATTCCGCTTACATTCGAGTTACTGTATTCTCTATAAGTTATCTGAAAGGAGAATCATAGCGAGCTGATAACAGAAGTTATCGCGGTGTTATCCACGCAATCGATACTCTTGTAATTAAAACTTTTGTGATCGTGTTTACATTGTGTGTTATATATGACGAATTGCTACTATATTCGTCATCATTTTTCATATTTGTAATTAGAAAAAATAATGTAAAAATAATTTCGAAAATTTTCAATTTTTTGATAATTTTTTAATTTCTATTGGGTTGTCTGGAAAGTTCGTGCCGCAAAAGATTTAAATTTAATAAATGAAATTAAAAATTTAAATCTTCTGCGTTTCAATTTTCCTTCAAAATCGACACGAATAATGCATTTTAAGTTCACGGATAGAACAATTTTACTAAAGTATTTCAAAATTTGGCTAAATACATATCTAAAAATAATTGTGTAGGTCAAGTATAATGGACAAAAATGTTGTAAAGGATCTTGACATTCTTGCAATCAACTTGTGCGTCACGCAATTATTACGTACACAATTATTTTATTATATCTAACAAAATTATTTTTCAGACCGTAACTAGCTAAATTTTTAGATATTTTAGCAAAACTCAAGATTTAGATTTTAAATTGATCTTTCTATGTGCTTCTGTAATTACATGACAGTGACGTGAATTGATAGACTCTCGAGAAAATATATCAATGACACTTTTTATGAAAAATTAACATTTATAGCATCACTTGTCGATTGTTTTTAAAACGTAACAGAATACGTGTTTAGAATATAATTCTCCTTCATTTTATGTTTCTTTAACTTGTTTCACGAATTTGTATTATCATCTTCGCGTGCTATTGTTTATACACAAAACAGCCGCCAAGTTCATCGCGTGTTTATGCTTGTTTCAAAGAAATGTGAAGCATTATAGTGACTACTCATCCTCGAGTCTCATTCTGTTCCGTTTTCATTATACAAGTACTCTTCGCAAACAAGGAATGTTCTCTGGATTCTCGAAATTAAGACAATATCTCTTACCGTTAGATGAATAGCTATCTTAGAGATTTATTTTAAGCGCTGACTGTTCTAATATGAATCGCACTCGCCCAAATGATTCGAGAATGGAGTTTGCGTAACATTCGAATTACTGTTCGCTGATAGAAATATTCACGAATGGAGGCACCTCGCGCTGTAAGTCTGAATCTCTCCGGCCCCCGTCTTTTCCACGAATAGACAAATCGAGAGAAATTCCGACGATCCAACTTGCAGTCCGGCCGATTCCGGCTTTATACGGCTTGGCCGTAGATCGCTGTCGTTTCGTCGTCGTGTCGCCGTGCGTCGTCGTTGTAGGCATAGAAAGACGCGCCTTATACTCGCGGAGCTCACTCGTTCTCCGTGTCTTCTTGGCGTAGCATGAAAATAGCTCAGCGTACTTGGAATATCGCGTGGCCTACGCGCTAAGCATGCTAAAACGGCGTCATCCAACGCCGCTCGACCAACGGACGTGGCGTGCGTGCGTGCGTGCGTGCGTGCGTGCGTGCGTGAGTGCATGCGTGAGTGCATGCGTGAGTGCGGAGCGATTACTTAAAGAAGCATGCTCATCGATGCTTGGCTATTAGAAAGTACTCAATAATTTTCTTTGAATATGTAGTTTCAGTATTTACACATCTAGATGTAACACACGCACGATAAATATTCATAAAAAAAAATTTTTTCGCGATATTTTTCGATAAGTAAGAATTAGATAAAAAACGATCGAAACAGCTTCATGAATAATGGTTTTTTGTATAAAGTAAAAAATCATTTATAATAATCGAATTACATCTTTTACAGTTAGTATAAATACATAAATAGAAGAGAGAAAATAATTATTTAATACTTTGGTTCCCGTTTTAAAATGTGATTTTATAAATGTCTACTATGTATTTAAATAAATTAAGCTAATATGTTTATGAAGGAAATCCCTATAAAGAAGGATTATTCGGAGCAGAAAAACGAGAAGAAGCGAAGAGAAAGAGAGGGAGAAGCTTATTATCTCTGCCAGTGTGCAGTTCAAAAATTGTTCTCCCGTCATCTACCCGCTCTGCAACTTTGTCGTGCAGACTATCTCTCTTGAAGTTCACATGTACTTGTTTGACCAGAGGTGGTCGACCAGTGATACTGGAGAAATACCGACCAACGATTAATTATAACTTGCCGGTTATTTACGGCTTTAATTTGCGTGCTGATTCTTCACAATCTAACGGGTGTTTCGAAATTACTTCTTTTCGATTAAGCTTCAGTTACGTGGAATTTTCCTACTACTAATTTTTTCAAAGAATCTACTGGAAATCTAAGAAAAAAAAAGATATAACGAATATCTAGGAAATTGCCATGTTAATAATTTTCATTCCTCTTCGTGAATTCATTTATAATGCTATTGTTAGATTCTATATGAAAATTTTGTTTTATACAAACATGCAATATCATTTCTCACGTGTCCGTTTAGCGAGTTAAAAATAAAGCGCGGTTGCAAGTATATAAAGACTAAGACTGCGTTGTACTTTCAAGGATAGAAACGTTAGTCAGCGATAATGTTAAACGATTGCTGTCATTATCTGTGTATCTCCCTCTCTTTATATTGGAAAACATGACAGTGTGATAAAAAAAGCCTTTCGGCTTCAAGTCAAGTCATCGTATGGACCGTAAATGAATGTCGTAGGATACCTATGCGCAATGCGCATATATAGGCACGTATTGCGCGCGCACGCACGATTGAAGGCCGAAATTACTATGATCGTATATACGCGATGCTCGCACGCGGTCCGTTTGTAAAAAGAAGAGGGGAAAGCGAATAGAGGAGCCAAAATGCTGACACAGAGGAAGGCTTGACGTAACGACCGCAGCATCCCTCGTAAATTTTTACAACGCGATCGTTACAATGTACGAAACTGGTCAAGAAAGAGATTCAATCTTTTTTCTCCGTCTCGTTCTCTTTCTGTTTCTCTTTCATGATCACTCAGCTTTCCGAGATCACGAAAACACGTCGATATATCGAGGCGATGAGACCGCAAAGAAGGAAGGGAGCGACCGAAAAAGGAGAACGAAGTAGTGAGTGTCGAGAAAGAGAAGCGATAAAGAGAGAGAGAGAGAGAGAGAGAGAGAGAGAGAGAGAGAGATAGTGGAATGACGAACCAGGAGAGGAGGCTCGAGATCGGAGAGCATGGTCACAATGCACGAGAGAACACGAGGGAGAGAGAGAGAGAGAGAGAGAGAGAGAGAGAGAGACAGAAGCACTGTTGTCGCATCATATCTCGCGAGTATACGGGGTCAGAGGAAAAGAGGGACAACAAACATGCCGCGCGAAGAGTGACTGTAAAACGAGAGAGAGAGGGGGGGGAGGAGGGCTGATAGTGAGGGGATCACGGAAGAGAGAGAGAAGGATGAGGCGGGGAGGAGAGAGAGAGAGAGAGAGAGAGAGAGACTCATGGTTCACCTGTCGTCATGGCAACGCCGCTTCGCCGCTCACTTGTTACTCCATCGGCATAGCTCGGCCCTCGGCGGCGGTCCTCTCGCAGCCTCCGCAGGAATACGAACGCGAGTCACGATCCATCGCGTGGGACAGAGAGCGAGCCGACGCCTCCTTTCCTGATGGGCGAGCGCTCGGCTTGCTGGAGGCGCGATCTCTCTACCACGCCGAAGATCGACTTGGATCCTCTCTCTCCTGTTTCTTTTTTTCTTTTTTTCCAACCACACGGGCAGGAAAAGAGAAAAAGAATCTCGCGCGCGCGGTGAGACACGGGATCACCCTTTTCTTGCGTTCCACCACTACAATACGCACTATAGGAATTATCACAGAAGAAATACGCACTCCATTTGTATATATGTATATATATTATCGTCGTCCTCTCTCGTTGTTTCCTCTTTCACTCACGGAGAAACGTAGAATTCGAACGTATCACAGAAACGTGGAGGTGGGGAAAAAGTGAGCACAACATCCACCCTTCTCTTCTCCGATTCGTGTGTTTTACTCGCTCCGTCCTCCCGCCACGTACTTAAGCCGAAGTCACTCTTCTATTTTAAGCTCCGCACTTGCCTCGTCCGTCCTCTCTCTCTCTCTCTCTCTCTCTCTCTCTCTCTCTCTCTCCCCTTCTCTCTCCCTCTTGCCGATATCAACGTACGCACGCACGGCACGCACGCACGCATGCACGCACGCATGCACGCACGCGCTGAGCGATATTCACACTTACGAAGCGCCCAACGATCTCTCGCGCTATATACGGTGTACGTGCGCGATTTCTCGTTATCCACTTACTACGAGCGCGTCAATCTGTTTGCTATGCAAATCCCGTCCGACCGGCGCTGACGATGATAACGGGCAACGAATGATAGCTCCGAATCGGCAACTCCAAGTCGTCGGATATGATATCTCTCGTTAACGTAATCAGCCGCGAGCGGTTAGTCATTGCCCGCCGACGAACGACATACGTTAGTTGGAAAAGTATAATCGGCCATCCGCGCACCGCGGTTTTCACAGGGGTATCCTTACCCCCACCGCGAGGCACGACAACGACGACGACGGACAATGAGGAGGAATAAACCACTCGCACGGCCGAGCGTACATCACCAACACCGCTACTACCGCGCGGTCACCACTATCATCACCACTGCTGCTACCATCGCCGGCGATCGCGGCACTGCTGACTGCCGAGAGCGTCGCGCCGTGTCGCCTCGCGTCTCGCGTCTCGTCGTGTCGGGGACGCGTAAACGTGCCGCGCGCGCGGCGAGAAACTCCGACCGCGAATTCCCCCGGCGGCGGTCTCACTCGCACGGTGACGTCATTGGCGCCTAAACGCGTCGCCGTGGGGATACCCGCCGCGTCTCGCCGCGTTCTCTTCTTCAAGAGTGTCTCCCTCCCAAGAGAGAGAGATCGGTAGCCGATCTACCGACGCGACCTCGTTTATAGCAAAAATCGTGTACCAGGACGATCGTCGACGATCCGTATGACGCTCGTCCAAACTTTCAAAGTCCAACACTTTCACCTCGATATTATTCCAACGTAGTTTGATCTACGATCGATCGGCACACCTCTCACTCCTCGTGGTCGCTCTCGTACTCGCGTGATAACACTTGACTACTGTTTCATTCATTCGATCGATAGCTGGAGATGAATGTCGATTCGATCCGGAATGGATCGCGAGACGCTCCTTGACGATTCACCGCTCCGATCGACACTTCCGCATGTTCTCCATCCGAGGGTAACGTTCGCGAATCTCCCGGTTTCGCGAACTCTTCGGTATCTTGAAATTTTTAACCGCCGATGGAAGCCGAGATACAAGTTTCCCTCGTGTAACGACCGGCGTGACCAAAGTCACGCTTTCCCGCTCTCGATCGCGATCGATCGGAATTCTCTCGGATTTTCCTCCTGCTCCTCTTTCTTGCCACGCGCGAATTCTCCACTATTAACGATGTTGCACGCCCGTTACAGTCTCTCCTCGTTCTCTAAAGATCCCGTGAGTCTTTACTAAAAGATCGTACACTTGTACACTTTTTCTCACACGCGTCACATTATTCTCAATCGCGATCTCTTCTCCTGCTCGCGATCTCGAGTCACTCCCGTCAATCCTGCTTTGTCTGCCACAGTTGGTGTTGGCGCGCGAAAGTTGACTTTTCTCAACGACGATCACTTCCAGATTTCTCCCTTACGTTTTTCCTCTCCATCCCCCCCCCCCCCTGTGATCCGTGCGAGTCGCTCCGTTTCACCTGCGTTCACCCGCGTTGCTGTCAACAAGTGTGATTCCTCGCGAACGCGAACGGTCGACACACACATACACCCACACACATACACACACGCACTATGCGCGATCCACGGTGTCGCGTTGCGGTGTCGCGCGCCGCACGACGCACCTCCTGACGGCGTTGTTATTGTTGCGTAACTGACGGGCCCCGTATAGCTGGCTGGCTCCGCAGCCGCGCCGCGAGACAGAGTGTATGGATGAAGTAGTGGTCGGGAGGAGAGAGGCGTGAAGGGGAAGCTAAGAGAAAAGGACGGAGAGAGAGAGAGAGAGAGAGAGAGAGAGAGAGAGAGAGAAGGAAGAGAGGATCGGGAGGACGAGGGTAGCCCCCGTGGGTGAGCCAGTGGGCGAATACGCAACGAGAGAGAGAGCGTGCGAGCAGTGCGCCGTCTGGCGTGGTTGGCGACAGTCTACTGCCTTCCGAGAACCACGAGGCGATTCCGTGTATCGAACGCGCACCGAGGACCGTCGACGATGGTAGTAGGGGAGACGGGATCGGCGCGCGATTCTCTGGTAGGGAGTTAGCACGAGGGAGTGTGAGGGACGAAGGGACGGTGCGAGTAAATATGAGAAAGCCTGAGCGACCCAGAGAGAGAGAGAGAGAGAGAGAGAGAGAGAGAGAGAGAATGTTCAGACACGAGGCTGCGTCAGGGACGCAGATATGCCCCGCGCACGTTTTCTTATGAGCACGGAGAATCAGCGCGTTCGCGTCATATTGGAAGACGATAATGAGGGTTTTAACCGTGGCCTTGCCACGTCGTCAGCGACGAAATGGAAAATCTACCGCGAAATCACGTTCGACGCCTGGCTTACTATATCGAGTTCGCTTTGTATTTTCTTTCCTGTTTTTGCCGCCGTTTGTCATCGGTCACAGTCGACAAACGATCGAGAATCGGTCCAAAAGTTTGAATAGGCAACTTCTCTCTCTCTCTCTCTCTCTCTCTCTCTCTCTCTCTCTCTTCCCCTTTCTCTCTTTCATGCAAGTCGAAAACGTTGATCATTCTTCGGATAGTCAGTTAGTCGAGTGTTTTATTAAACTGCAGTTTCGCAAGAAACGGAGGTAAACCGATCCGTTCGAGTTCCTTTCTTCTTGATCAATTCACGTTTTCCAATTTGCTTACATTTACAAATGTATGTACACCGTGCTCGATGCAACCTGTTTCCGCAGCGCGCATTGCGGTGTAATGTTACCTGTTTATTAAATGCCTGCCTCCCCTCCATTGCGCGAGACTCCATTCAAACACCGAGATTAGCGACTGCGGTCGATTTCCAATTTTAATCATCGAGTCCCACTCCGCGGCTAGCAAGCCAATGTTGTTGGCGAATTAGTACGTTGCTTTTTGGGATATTCTTTGGCGACGGCACCCAAACAAAACGCTATAAATAAAGCTGTGAAAATAGAGGAGTAGAGAAGTACCTCAGCGAAGAAACGAGGGATCTCGTGCGATAATCTACCTTATCTATTCCGGATCACTAACAGCCAAGGGCAGACAGGGTCTCGTCCTCCGTCTTTGCCTGCCGTCACGGTTATGTTTCATCGTTCCCATTCCAAGACTCTGAGGCTCGCAACGGGAAGGGAGACCCCGCTGTTATCTGCCAACTACGTACAAACCTCTCACCCGGAAGGACAGCTGGTCTTCGACGAAATGAACTCCTCCTCGAGAAAAGTTGTTAAAGGACACGCGCACAAAAAATAACGCGAATGAAAATATTTTAAAGTTTGATCCTCTAGATATTATTCATTAAAATATTTCGAATATTTATAGATATACCATTATATTCAGAGAATGAAATTTTGGGGAAGAATTTGCAAAGAAGAATCTTCTAGAATCTTTTTTAGATATTTTTTGTCATTTTTAACAATGGGTACAAAAACAGGTGCGCATTCAGGGCTATTTATATCAAATATAATATTACAATTATATATATAGATATATATATATATTTTTTTTTTTATTCAAATTTGTCTATCAAAAATAATATTACATGGAGTGTTACGAATTTTACAATTAAGATTTATTTTCATAATATATGATTACCTAAAAATTAAAAGTTAAGAAATTTATAAATTTTTTGTAATCTCTAATCTTTAGATAAACTTGTATTGTGAAAACGAGCCTAAAATGATGAATTTGTTTGCTGATACTACATTAAATTAATACACAAAGGCTGCTTCATATTAAGTATCTCAATGTAATAACATGATATAATAAATTTTGACAATGAAATAATATGTGTATATTCTGTTAAATAGCAGTATCATTATTGTTATTTCATAATCATTTAAAGTATTTATACACTTTTACATTTAACTTATTAATTTATATATAGCAGCTTTTAGTATACGCTAATTTAGTGTAATGCAAATGATTGAATTCGCTGTAATATTCTGTGATTGCGTTTGTAAATTGTATATTAACTCCGTCGGTGCTTAACGATATATATTCGCGTTACAAAATTATTTGAATTCGGCGACCATCTGTGAATTTTCATTTGACCTCCGTTGCAATTAGCGATTAATACGGTACACAGTTATGACGATTTCAAGGACAATCGGAGGTATAATTAACGATTCTGCCGCATGGAGCATGAAAGAGTCTCCGCTACACTACATCGCGAACATTCATCGATCGTATCTGAAACGCAACACCGTCGTCGTTCTCACTCACACGCATCTCATAATCGTGGGCGATCATCGACTGCGCAATATCGTGTGCAACAAGTTACTTTTGTTAACTGGACGTAGGAAGAAAACAGCTAATATATGAATACAAAATTAAATCAAATGAATACAAAATTAAATCAAATCCGCTTTCACGCTTATCTCAATAAAATAATGTTTAATATAATTGGAATACGAAATAATATGTTGAAACATGTACAATCGTTTATTATTATTTTAGATAAAACTTGTACATTATATGTAGATTTCTGTATTTGTTTTAAAAAAATAGCACACTGCGATTTTGCCAATAGTTATAACGTACAATTGAAACGTCGAAAACACGAGTGGCAAACAGGATTTTGGGCTACGAGTGCAGTGTCGAGGTAAAAAAAAAAAAAAAAAAAAAAAAAAAAAAAAAAAAAAAAATTTT